TATCCAACAGTATAGATTTCATGAATCAGATCCTCCATGTATATGATGCCGAATTTACCAAGAGATCGCGCAGCAAAGAGTTATCTGTCAAAGCAATTCGCTTCTTATTGATTTTGCCATAACCACGTTTGTAGATCAGTTCATTTATTGACTTCAGGTTTGGGTACCCCCATGCAATATATGGTTCCACAATTCTCAGCATGTTAATTGAGGCCTTGGTGAGTTTAACAAAGGTGCCATTGAAGATCTGGTGAAGACAAAGAAGCTGCAACACTTTTTGAACCTTTGGGCTCACTCCATTGATACCTCTGATCCTGATGACAAATGCCAATTTGGGTTCTGCAGGTACATAGAAGTTGCCAGCTTTTCTTGCCATCCTGGCCATGCGAATCTCAGTTCTGTACATCTGTCTGTATTCCTTATGATAGTGCTTAGCTTTTTCATAGATAAACTTCCTCTTTGCCTTTTGAAACATCTTTTGAACAAACTTCTTTCTCAGGTGCTTGATCTTCAACTCTGCAAAATTTCTTCGCTTTTTCTTAAGGGTTTCTGGCACAGCAGGAACCTTTTTCTTGGTGGCTTCCGCAGCAGCAGGAGCCTTTTTCTTGGTTTCTGCTGCAGCAGGAACCTTCTTTTTCTTCTCTTGAACACCCTCCATAGTTCCAACTGGAAAAGAGGAAGCTCTTTCTTTCTAATTCTTGAAGTTCAATCTGAATGTTCAGGAGCAAGCAGAAAGAGGTGATCCGGAATCTCTTTGCCGTTCTGTTGTGATCGCTCATGCTAGCTTGTTTGCTGGAGGCTGAATTATCAGTAGAAAAATCTTCATTTTTCTTGCACCCTGAAATAACTAGTTCGCAGGAGTCATGAGGAATCTTCTTCTCTCATTAAGCTTTCGTTACATTTCTTATTTTATCATCATCAAGCAATCTTATTAACCTCACATAAAGTGCAGGTGTAATAACAAAATGCATTAGTTCAGTCTGCTCTGTGTGACATTTACATTACTTATTAATTCTCCATTCAGTTGTATTGCTCAGGTCCAAAAGCTTGGTTAATGAGAATCTACCTCAAGAGGTAAATCTATTCATTGTATGATGATAAAATTAGATTTGTGAGTACACAGCCCAAGGACTAGATCCTGATACTTGGCAGTTCACCCAATGAATCTATATCATCCGTCTACTTGAGGTCTACTAGGAAATTTCCTCTAGGTTTTCCCCTGATACTGCCATTAGCTAAACAAGTCCTCTTAAATATATTCTGTATCAAGCAGGAGCTATTTTAAAATGAGTTTGGAGAAAATAATCTCATTAAATCTCCTGACTTAAAGCGGATAAATGTCTGAAACTCTAACCCCTAGTACCTTAGAATGTGACTGTTTTTTTGGAGTTAGGGCCTTTTTTTTTCTGAGAGTTTTTTTTTTGCTATAGGGTGCGTGCGCTCGCCAGACAGAGAGAGAGACATAGAGACAGAAAGCGAGAAATCACCCCCCCGGGGGGATGGTCACGCCGCAATCCCTCCTCCTTCATTCTCCTCTCAGGATCTTGGGCACGCACACACATGCACCCGGTGTGAGTTTTAAGCCACCGGGTCTGGGACATGAACCGTGGTCGACTACGTGGGAGTCCAGTGACATAGCCATTACGCTAACTGCTGGTTCCCAGGAGTTAGGACCTTTAAAGAGGTAAAAATGCGGTTGTTAGGGTAGGTCCTAATTTAGTATCATTGGTGTTCTTATAAGAAAGGGAGATTAGGGACCAACAGATGGTGTGGTGGTTAAGGGCACTAGACTCCCACATGGCCGACTGTGGTTTGGGTCTGGACCTGGTGGCTTGCTTTCTCAGTTTCTCTCTCTTTCTCTCTTTCTCTCTCTCTCAGGTCAAATTAAAAATAAATAAATAAATAAATAAATAAATTTAAATAAAATAATTCTAAAAAAAAAAAAAAAAGGGAGATTAGCATATAACAACATAAGTTGAGGGATAACTATGTGAAGACAAAGTGAGAAGGTGGTTATCTGCAAGCCAAGGAGAAATTGACCTCAGAAGAAACCAAACCTGCTAATACCTTTATCTGGGACTCCTAGCCCCCAGAATTGTGACAAAATAAATTTATGTTGTTTAAGCCACAGAGTCTGTAGTATTTTGTTATGACAGACCTAGCAAACTAACATAGTATTAAAGTTTTTCCCCGTGTCCATATGAGATATTCCCAGCTTTAATTGAATTCCACTTCTTTTTGATTAGCAGTTCTCATGAAATACAACCTCTGCTTGAAGGCAATGAGTAAACTACCCTTTGACTGTATTTTACTTAAACTTCTCATAGCCTCTGATTCTACCTGTATTCTGTCTGATTATATTGCCTCATTTTTCTGGACATGCTTCAATCTCCTCACATTCATTTGAAATTCAGGGATCAAAACAAAGTACTCTAATGACTATCTGATTAATTTAAAATATAAGGTATATACACTCCCCAACTCTTATCTGTTACACTCTACATCTTTTTGTTTGTTACATCATAGTAGCATTATGTTGTTGACTCAAGCACATTATAAGCAATAGTTACTCCATTTTTCAGTCATTCTTGGCGTTAGTAAGATTTCCTCAGCCTCTGTTTATGGTTAGTCCATAAATGTGTGGTCTTGACACATTATGCTGGTCTCTTTTTAGTTTTGAGAAATCTTAGTCCCACTTACGAAGAATTAATATGGGTCATTTACATCTTTCACCTAGAACATAAAGTTTAAATAACTAGAAGGATCTACCATGTGACTGTAAGAGTCACCATGCTAGAGGGCTGGCAGGTGGCATGGTGGTTAAGGGCACTTGGACTCTCACATGGCCAAGTGCAGTTCAAATCCTGGACCTGGTTGCTTGCTTTCTCTCTCTCTCTCACCCTCTCTCTCACTCTTTAACTCTGTCCCTCTCTGGTCAAATAAAATTGAGTAAATAAATAAAGTTAAATTAAACAATTCTTTTTTTTTTAAAAAAAAGAGTCACCTTGCCATTTTTACAACCTTGTAATTTTCCTGTAGGTTCTTCATTAATTTGTCTTTCTAGAAGAACCTGAGATGCAGATTTGAGTGCAAGAGATTTATTGAGAATGTGCTGTTCAGGAGAAATCTATAATGGAGGGAGAGAAATAGGAATAGTAAAAGAGAAAGCAATGATACAATCTCATCCTTAGGGAGTCTGATTCTTTGGGGACCTTTGGAGCATTATTGTACTGCAGACTTTCCCTTCTTGAGGCAGGGTTGGGGCAGTAAGGGTGGGGGTTACTTCCTGGGTCAGGTGGCTTTCATCAGTCATGGCAGTTCTCCTGAAAATGGGGCAGCTATGGATAATTAGGAGCTGTCTTCATCTGTTCGGGCTGCTATAAGAAACTACTATAAACTTTGTAACTCACAAATAACAGAAATCTATTTATCATAGTTCTGGGTGCTAAGAAGTCCAATATCAAGGTACCAGCAGATTTTGTGTTTGGTGAGGGCCCACTCATAGATGGTACCTTCTCATTGTGTTCTTACATGGTGAAAGAGCCCAAAAAGCTCCGAAGGAAGCTTCTAATTGTAAGCACTTTCCTCCTATTAGGTAAACACTTAATTCATTTGGATGTTCTGTTCCTGCTACTATAGTTTTCTTTCTTCCAATATAAGGAATAAATGACACCTGCATTTTCTACTAACATTTTTAGATGGCAAGATGGTGGCTGACAAAGTATTGACAGCAAAACAAGAAGTTATTGAATGTGTAGCATCAGCAACTGTAACATCCCCAGGAAGAATTCCTGGGGAAACTCAATCAGAACAGACGGTTGAAGAAAATTTGAGAAGTCCGGAGAACTCTGAGAAGCAAAAGAGAAATGGTACAAGGAACAAAATGAGTCAGATATCTTCCCAGGAAAGACATTTCAGTCTGGCAACTTTTAACAACAAAATCCCCACAGAAGAGAGTGTTCTTGAATGTAATGAAACTGAAGGAAGTCTCAGTCTGAACTCAAATGATATTATACAACAGAGAATTCATACTGGAGAAAAGCTCTATGAGTGTCTTGAGTGTGGAAAAGCCTTTTGTCATAGCTCAAAGCTGATTAGACATCAGAGAATTCATACTGGAGAGAGACTTTATGCATGCAAAGAATGTGGCAAATCCTTGAGTTTGAGCTCAGACCTTGTTAGGCATCAGAGAATTCACAGTGGTGAAAAACCTTATGAGTGTTGTGAATGTGGAAAAGCTTTCAGGGGCAGCTCAGAGCTCATTAGGCATCGGAGAATTCACACTGGAGAAAAACCTTATGAATGTGAATGTGGGAAAGCCTTCACTCGGAGTGAGGCCCTTATGCAGCATAAGAAAGTTCACACTGGAGATAAAGGCTATGAATGTATTGAATGTGGTAAGGCTTTTGATAGAAACTCTATCCTTATTGAACATCAAAGAATTCATACTGGAGAGAAGCCGTATAAATGTACCGAATGTGGAAAATCCTTCAATCAGAGCTCAGCCCTAACCCAACACAAGAGAATCCATACAGGGGAGAAGCCTTATGAATGCAGTGAATGTAAGAAAACGTTTCGGCATAGGTCAGGCCTTATGCAGCATCAGAGAACACACACCAGAGTTTAACTACATGGATAAAAGGTATACAATTGTGAAATACAAGGACTTCACTTTTGGAGTGAGACTCTACAGAAAAAAGAAGTTTCCTGAGAGCAGGGTTTCTCTCCTTCTAGCCCAGTTCAGTACTGTAAGAGGAAATCTACACAAAGGTGTTATGCTTGTCAAAGTGTTGAATGGAAGAAAATGTTTACTCGGGATTTCTCCAGAAAGAGATACATATTTCCAAAAATTCCTAACCCATTTCTGGATGAAAACTCTTATCAATACTCCCTTCACTATACACAAATCCAGATATAACTGCCATTGGGTACTTTCACAGTAAGTCCAGGATTGGGGCAGAGATGAGCTCTGTATGGGATGGTGAAGATCCCTGTCCAGCAAGAGCTTTTGTGGCAAGTGGAGGCATGTTCTGAGAGTTAGTCAACTATCTGAAATGTTGAATTATGTCCTGGATAAGTTTAATAGTATCTGAGGCAGTTTAATAATATCTGAGGAGTGGTGGCTCATTCTGCTCTCTTGCCAGTTCTCTCCTTCTCTTCCTGCAAAGGTCAGTTCAGGTCTACTTATTATTTAAGCACCTACTAAGTGCTAGCAGTTGGGAGCAGACATAGTCATTGCATTCAAAGTTAAGGTCTAATAGGATTTAGTGACTGCTTATAATTTTATGTTGCCTCTGCATCCATTTTTCTCACACTCTAAGCAGGGTTCAGTCACCCTTGACAGTTTCCAATGCTGTCCTCTACCTGAATGGCTCCTGCCAGTATGCCAGTAGCCAGAGAGATAAGTAGTTAAGAGTCCTCTCTCTCTCGCTTCTATTTTTTTTTTTTTAGAGAGAGATTTTTGCTATAGAGTATATGTGCTCTCCAAAGAGAGAGACAGAGACAGAAAGCAAGAAATTATTCCCCAGAGGTGGTGATTACTTCACAATCACTTCTCCTTCATTCATCTCTTGGGATATTGGGCAAGCACACACATGCGACTGACATGAGTTTCCGGGTCTGGGATTTGAACCGCAGTCAGCTATGTAGGAGCCCAGTGATGTAACCATTATACCATCTGCTGGTCTTGGCCCAGCAGGCTGAGCTTCCAGTTTTCTCACTGACTCCTTTAAATGGATATTCAGGCATTTGTCTATGAGCTTAGTGACCAACACACCATTCCCCAAAATGTACTAGTGCCCATACACGCATATGAACACACA